TTCCTGCTTCTGTGGGCAACTTGAGTGAACTCACAGAGATTTCTCTTGGTCATAACCAGTTTAGCGGAGCTATCCCAAATGAAATAGGAAGCCTTTCTAGACTTAAGACCGTAGATTTTTCCAATAATGCCTTGAATGGAAGCTTGCCTGCAACTCTCTCTAATTTATCCTCACTCACTCTGTTGAATGTAGAGAACAACGACCTAGGCAATCAAATCCCAGAAGCTTTAGGCAGATTGCAAAATCTTTCTGTTCTAGTTCTGAGAAGAAATCAATTTAGTGGCCACATTCCTCAAAGTATTGGAAACATTTCAAAGCTTACACAGCTCGATTTGTCGCTGAATAATCTCAATGGTGAAATTCCAGTCTCCTTAGACAATCTGCGCAGTCTTAATCACTTAAACGTTTCTCATAACAACCTCTCTGGTCCTGTTCCAACCCTACTTGCCCATAAATTTAACTCAAGTTCATTTGAGGGAAATATTCAACTATGTGGGTACAGCCCTTCAACCCCATGTTCCTCGCCAGCTCCTTCTGGCTCGCCTTCTGAAATGTCAAAACACCATCATAAGAAACTAGGCTCCAAAGACATAATCCTCATAGTAGCGGGAGTGCTCCTTGTACTCTTGTTAACACTTTGCTGCATTCTGCTATTCTGCCTGATCAGAAAAAGAGCAACATCAAATGCAGAGAGTGGCCAGGCCACAGGGAGAGCATCTGCCACCAGGACAGAAAAAGGAGTTCCTCCTGTTGCAGGTGGTGAAGCTGAGGCAGGTGGCGAGGCTGGAGGTAAACTAGTCCATTTTGATGGACCATTGGCTTTTACAGCTGATGATCTCTTGTGTGCAACAGCAGAGATAATGGGAAAAAGCACATACGGAACTGTGTATAAGGCTACATTAGAGGATGGAAGTCAAGCTGCAGTGAAACGGTTGAGGGAAAAGATCACTAAAGGTCAGAGAGAATTTGAATCTGAAGTTGGTGTTATAGGAAGAATTCGACACCCAAATCTTTTGGCATTAAGAGCCTACTACTTGGGACCCAAAGGAGAAAAGCTTTTAGTATTTGATTACATGCCTAAGGGAAGTCTTGCTTCTTTCCTACATGGTAAGTTTGCTAAGATATTTTTTTTTCTTTTCATGATGTACGTCTGTTTAATTTATTAACGCTAGTGTTTGACTGTTTGACTGTTTTCCATCCTTGTGCAGCTCGTGGGCACGAAACAGTCATTGATTGGCCGACAAGGATGAAAATAGCACAGGGAATGGCTCGTGGCTTGTTATACCTTCATTCACAGGAGAACATTATACATGGGAATCTTACGTCCAGCAATGTGCTGCTGGATGAGAACACGAATGCTAAAATAGCTGATTTTGGTCTTTCTCGGTTGATGACAACTGCTGCTAATTCTAACGTGATTGCCACTGCTGGAGCATTGGGCTACCGAGCACCTGAGCTCTCAAAGCTTAAAAAAGCCAACACAAAAACTGACGTATACAGTCTTGGTGTCATCTTGTTAGAACTCCTAACGGGGAAGCCACCTGGTGAGGCTATGAATGGCGTGGATTTACCTCAGTGGGTTGCCTCTATTGTCAAAGAGGAGTGGACAAATGAGGTTTTCGATGTAGAGTTGATGAGAGATGCTTCAACATATGGCGACGAGATGCTAAACACGTTGAAGCTTGCTTTGCACTGTGTTGATCCTTCTCCATCAGCACGGCCAGAAGTTCAGCAAGTCCTTCAGCAGCTAGAAGAGATTAGACCAGAGATATCAGCCAGTTCGGGTGATGATGGTGCTATCCCTTCGACCAGTGAATAATTTTGGGTGTTAGGTTCCATTATGTGGACTATTTCTTAAGGACTAACGTAGTAGTAGGGTAGGTTGAATGGTAGTCTATTATTCTTTCATTCTTACATTGATTTTTGCCTGTTTGAGTGCTAGTAGTCTCTGTACATAAATTCTGTGCTTCCTACATCAATGAGTGTTTTTCTATTTAACACTTTATTTCATAATAGAAATTAGTTCCCCCCTCCCCCGAAGATAATTGCCGAGGTATCAACGGCACAAATATTCTCTACGAAAAAGGAAGTTAAATTGAGTTATCACAACAAATCCAACCTTTGAAAATTTCAAAAATTAATTTATAACACGAAAAGAGAGGTGGGGGGGGGGGGGGGGGAAAAATACACCCCTGTTT